CACACATCTGCAGACCCCAGGCTCTACACCCTGACAGACTTGGGAGTTCAGGGTAAAATGAGGCCAAACATCAAGTTCTGGACAGCTGCTGGTCTGTAGTTCTCTTCTAATTAGAGAAAATTCTGTTTTAAAATGACAAAATAAAAGTTTTATATACATGCAATAGGGTTGTAAATAATTATTATTTTATATCGATGCATCGATCCAACAGCAGATGATCCGATGCATCGACACGTCCGCAAGAGTATCGATTGTTAATTTAATTAATGTTTGCTCCTAGAAGTAATTCTGACTCCGGTGCTGCGGTGGCGCTAAACCTATTTTGCCCTCCTACCTCGCTTCCTTTAGCCACTAACCTCTTTCCGCATTCACACACACTAGCGTAAACAGTAGGCAAGACAGACATGGCGGAGGAAAGAGAAGATAACTTGCACACCCCTTGCGCATTCAAGCCATATGTTTGAAAGTATTTGGGGTTGTGTGAGTGAATAAGGTTTTCATAGGCCTGGGTGAAGTACAACTTTGCTAATTCTGTTATTTGCTGATGTTTCTCAAATAAAATGCATTACGATATTACAGCTTTCATTGATTTATTTCAAAATTAAAACATCGTCTAGCCTGTAAGGTTAAAAAAATTTTTTTACCAATTAATCAAATCGAATCGTATCGTGGTGTATTTTTTAGTATAAAAAATAATCGATTCGTTGGGTCAGGAAATTGATACTGCATCAAATTGCAATGATGGGTGTGATTTACACCCCTAATATGCAAACAAACGGTATAATGTTGTAATTTGATTAAAGGAATTTAAATGATTGACACAGAATAACGTTTTAGTGATATTCTCTTATATCTCTGAAACGATGTTTAGTAAAATGTTGTGAGGGGTTAAAGGTCAGCATTCAAACTGAAGCACACTGTCTGTCAGTCTTTCTTAATGGGTGGTTTATTCAAGGGATAGTGCTCATTTTTTGGTTATGTTAAAGCACAATGTTGTAAATAAGTGAAATTTGTAGCTCTGGTATATTATTAATTCAAAATGAAAACCACTAAACAGTTTTGAGAGATTTCTTGATCTGCCTATAATGGGTTCCACGTCAGAAAGATTTTAATCCCTTTGTTCGAACAAAATGAACAGTAGCTCCTTCTAAATGCGTCTCTAGTTCTCACTGAGAATGATAAGCCTGCGCTGCCGTCCATGAATTTCATCTCCATGCCTCTCTGACAGCTTGATAAGCCAAAGGAAATGAATGAGTCAGCGTTTCATGAAGACCCGAGCACGCTGACGGCTGAACGGCTGATTTAGGAGGGAGGGGCGTTTCATAGGAGAAATTTCACTGGTTCATGTCATCGTCCTCTTTTATGCTTTTCCAGCCCAGCAGCTTCTCTGAGCTTCTTTTGTAACATATTCATGCTTATCTGCACCATGTCGAGTTTTGCATAATTTATTATGTTTTACTTTAAGGTTTAACCTCTGCTGATAGGAAGCACCTATGTGTCTAAGAACCCTTTCAGGGCATGTTAAATATTTGCTCTTGGATGTGGATTTGAATTTAGACTCATCCACCCATTTTATTTGGGAACAAAGGGCAAAGTCTCCTCTAGCAGATGTTAAAACCAGATATATAACCATACCTATTTAACAAGATGAATTACAAAATACATGTCTCCTTTTGGAGAGAAGATTACTCCCAAATCAGACTATTAACAGTTAGGATCTTTTTTAGGTCACGGACTAACATTAAAATAAAGTCAAATTGTAAAATATTCTTCCATCTATTAAGCTATTACTGTACATTTACATTAGTTAATTAGAATATCATCAAAAAGTCTTACTCATTTATTTCAGCAACATAGTTCAAAATGTATTTTTAGTATTTATTTTTCTGGTGATTATGATATTGGATGACTTAAAGCCAATAAACCGATATTCCTTTTCTGAAAGAATACTAGTTCAATAGTTTTCATGGAACAAGCGGGATATAGTCAAAGAAGCTGAGTATTTATTGCATGTTGTATCCATTCATTCATTTTCCATCATGCTTTATCTCAGCTGGGGTCGCTAGGGGTCCTAGTACCTATCTACAGCTGTCTACGGGCGAGAGGCGGGTACACCCTGGACAGGTCGCCAGTCCATCGCAGGGGGCATGTTGTATCCAAGTCTATTAATGGGAGTTACTTGTGAGGAAAATATCTGGTAGAAAGTAATTCATGAGCAGCAGGAACAACCTTAACATTAAATAGATTGATGAGGAAAAGCCAGTTTTAGAGTTTGGGCTTTGAGAATCAGCTTAAACAGATGGGGCTGTTTTGGTCATACCCATGCAGCGATTGGACTGGAAGATAATAAGTGAGACAGGAAGTGAGACACATTGGTAAAGTAGAAATAATGTGCTTTCGGGAAAATACAAACTTAAATGTTTGTGTTTTAGCTATTTTGCTGATTGCAGAGGTAAAACCGATCTTATCTGAGTAAACCACCTTGTGTTTTTGTTTCTTTAATCTGGCTGTTATTGTGTGATCTTAGTATTTTCAGTAGATGGTCTACCTGTTGGTCAGTGGTCGGATCGTCCAGTTTGAGCCTGTTTGTTTTGTAGAAGTTGGATCGCTTTTGTCTCATTTTAACCATAGATGGTCAGGGGTTTATGTTGTCTTACTTTAACCCTGTTGATTAAACATTTGAAGCATTTTCCCCTCTTATTTTGCTTATTAAATAAAACCTTTTCAAACAGTTTGTGCATTGCTCCTCTGAGCCTGTTTTTCTCCCTGAACTGAATGGTGTTGATTGGGTGAGCATCAATGGCAGGTTATTTTCTATGTACTGGTTCAGACAGTAGCAGAGTCATTCATTAACTTTCACAAACTGTTCCTGAAGCCTCTTGTTTGTTTTTCTGGGTGGTATGACTTTGGAGTTCCTGCTGTCATCTTGTCCTCTGTTCTGACTCGTTCCTCAGCCCACACAGGCTGATATTATTGTAAACTTTCCACGCTTCTCTTCACACCTTCATTTATGAGCAGGCCTCTTAATCACTTATTACCCAGATTGGCCAGGCAGGCAGATGTGGTGCATCTGTTCTGAGTGTTGGATGAAACATTAAATCCTCTGACTCATATGCATTGCAGTGAGCCCTCAGAGATTTAGCACATTTTCTGGGATATGGTGATTTGGCTTTAACAAATGAGGCATGCTTTATGTCAGAACCTGAGGTGGGAGTTAGCACTTGGACTGCGTTTGCATTTTTTCAGTGTCTGAGCCAGGAGTGTAAGTCTTAACTGGCTTGTATTTCCCATTTGCTAAAGATGTAACTAAAACACTTTTTAGAACGCTGCTCTGCTGCAAGCTTCTGTTAGCCTAATCATTTATTTTGCATTTCTTAAAATTATAGACTTGGTTTTGGTTTCTATTTTGCATCATTATTATTTGTTATTATAGGTAAAAATGGTGTCGTCTTTTATATTTTTTTAAACAACATGAAGTGAAAATGTTTAACAAACAAACAAGATGTATTTGTTGTTCTCGGATTAATGGGGTTATTCATGAATAGCGTTTTTCTATTGTCTGTGAAATCATTTGTCTGTAGCTTGTAGCCTTTTCTTATATTTATGCTCCCTCTCTGGTTTTTTAACTTGGCTATCAGCATTTTATCAACAAGTCAGATTTGTTTTCTATGTTTGAGGAAGAAAAAAAATGAAATCATGTTTTTTCCCATCAGCTGATATGAAGTGAACAGCTGCTGCTTAGCACTCATCTATGCTAACTCTAGTCAGCCCAGCACTTTATTCAACTTTACTGCTTTGAATATTTTTAAAACCGCAGTATACTTTGGAATTGATGGTAGAAAGCTCAGATCTCCTTTTTCATCTATAAGAACTGCGGAGCTCCAAGGATTGTCAGAATGTTCTCCATTGACTGTTTCAGAATGGCCACAATTAACCATTAATGATGCTGATGATGCTCAGGAAAGAGTTTGTCTGAATGCCTGACACTAAACTTAGAAACTCTACATTTGTATATATGCATGGATAAGAAAATGTTTTAATTATAAATTCGTTGACTCTGCTTCTTATTATGTTTAAATTAATAACAGCTTCAGTCCAGATTTTATTTGCAGGGAAGGTTTGTTGATATATTTTCTAAAAAACACAGATTTAAACAGATTGTGCAGTTTTTTTATGTTTAGCATGTTGTTGCTCAAATATATATTAGCCTCTGATTTTCTAATAGGTGTTTATGAGGAATTTCTTTCCTAGAAACTGCTGGCTTTCAAGATGCCCATTTATGGACCCCAACATGGAAGCAGAAAACAAACTTGTTGAGACTCTTGTGATAAAAGAAGTGTTTATTTTTTTGTTTTTTTTTTTGCATTGTGCATTATGTTAGTGCAGCAGGAATTTCACTAAACTGAGACAAGTTGGTTCGATTGAAAATTTCCTGAACCCCCTCACATGATTAAATCACGATTCTTTAAATAAAAATAAAATGTAATGTAAAATGTAATGTAAAAATAAAATGTAAGCAGATTAATATGTGAAACAATAATTTCCTGAAAAGTTTGTCTACAATTCTTAATTGAAGGGTCTTTTTTTTTTTTGACTAAATAAATCTTTATCAAAGAAATTCAAATCTTCAAATTTACAATGGAGAACTCATCCTTTCAGAATCAATAAAGATTATGAAACTGGCTTTTTTATATATGTTAAATGTATTGTATCCATACTCTGAAAATAGCCATCCCATACTTAAGCCATAACTGCACTAGAAATTAAACGCATTAAAAAGACAGACTGGCTGTATAAGAACACCAAACAGTCTGGATGCGTGAAATATAAAGCAGTAGCTTTGAAAACAGCCGTGTACAGATTTGGGTCTAATCAATATTCACATATTGTCAAATGATCCTGTTAGAATCTGTGTCAGTCTTTACCTCGTCAGTCCAGCAGTCTACATGAACACAAAGACTCTGGTTTTCCTTTCTAGGTTTTACATAATTTTTATTTGCATTGAAAATAAAGACATTTTTAGACTTGGACCCAAACCTGGCCAATGATCTTCTATAAACGTCCCATCCATGTGACTGTACATTGAGATGTACAGTTGTGTAACAGTGTGCTGAACATCAAGCCAATACCACTATGACTGTCATTGTTTCCAGAGAATTATTCCTGTCTGGATTTATTTGAAATGATTCATAACATAACAGCTATTATTAGTTGAGAGTTTACATTTATTTACTTTAGTTAATTTTTCAATCATCCATTATGGCTGACTGTAATCACCTTAGGGAGGATTTCCTGTTGTGTGACACTCCTATTTTAATGGCAGATTATCCAGCACTAATGGGGACCTGCACATCCTAACTGCAGTCTTTCCCCTATATGAATCTGTCTCCTTAATAGCCTTTTGATTTTTTCCAAATGAAACTCTGCTTTGTGCGCATAACAGATGGATGAGTAAATCAAAACCATCACCTTGAGTATTGGCTTAGATTGAAAACAATGCTTTGCATCTTCCTCAGTAGGGAAATAAGAGACTAAAATCACAACCACAGCTTGGACATCCTTTAGACGATGATGTGCAGTATCATCTCTCATATCACCTTCACTCATCCCCTGACTTCATATCCAACCACTGGCTCTCTCTGTCCAGCAGGCTTCCAGGAGGGGGGGTCTCCGAGAAAGATGTTGGGTTCAGAGCGAGGAGTTGTGGAAGAATGGCTCTCCGAATTCAAGGTAAAACCCTCCTCCTCTCTGTGGTGCTTCATGAGTCATGCAGAAATGCATCCAGCAGGCTGTTTCCCACAGAAACCGCGAGCTGTGGATGTTTTAACAGATTTTTTATTTTAGTGTTAAGATCTTATCTTGATTGCTTTTAAAGTTGTAGGGAAGTCATATTTAAATTTCAAATCATTCTGGCTTAAACATGTATATAAATGTACTCTTTATCAGACCATATTGTCCCAAAAGTTAGAAAATTTCTATTTAAAAAGAAATCCTTTCTTAAAATCAGTTTTTTTTTCTCTTTACTTTATGCGGGCCAGTTAGTTATATGTCAGCTTGTACACCTAAATTCGGCCAATCATATATCAACGGTCATCTGTCAATCAAATTTTTTCAATCATTGCATCTTGATTCATATTTCGCAGCTAATATATGCAACGGTAGAAATAAGAAATAAGAATATATTTACTTTACCATTGAGTTATGTCCCAGTGTCCACGGGGATGGACGTCTGTGTCTTCAGCAGGCGTAGAGCTAAAAGAACTGGCAGCGTTACGAGGCAAGGGCTCAAACATGTACAGCTGTAATCCTTCTACACCAAAACAAGCTTCTGCCGCCCTGGCGTCCTCTTCCAAAACATCTTCGTACCCGCTTTCCTCCTCTAAATAAAAAATGTATGATCGAGGAGACTCATCCACGACCTCCGACACTAAACTCTCCTCCTCTTGCATGTTTCCACTGTCCATAGTGTTGACAGTGTCGTTTCTAAGTGCTACTTGGTCCCAATGTAATTTCCCATTGGGAACCTGCTAGCGCTGAGTTGCTAACTGGTTAGCAAGATGCTTCCGAGACACCAGGCACAACCAAACATGCTTGCGAACCTTTCACCACAACAATCCCGCCCCCTTGAAAATCAACCAATCACATTCATTTTATTCACTCGTGTAAAGTGGCGGACCACTCGGGAGAGTTCGGAAACGCAGCGGTTGGAACAGCTGCTTCCCTACGACTTTTTTTATTTTGATTTTTTTATTGATCAGCTTGAAATCCAATAAATAAACAAAACGACTGTTATTCATTTTAACATTTATATATCCTGAAGTAATGGTCCTTCTAACAGTTTAAGACCTCAGTTTTTCTTTTCTTTG